GCCAAATAAACGGATCACCAGATGTAACAAAATAGATCTTATTATTAATTTATTACCAAACAGAAAACAATAAACTTGCGGAAAAGATGGTATACCGCAAACATGAGGTGCAACAATTTGTACACCATATCCGGATTTCGACAAATAATGTCCCTTCAGTGATGTTAGGAATCGAAGCGGTATTTGGAAGGCCATATAATTTATCTCAATTTAGGATAGACTCTTCAATTTTGAAAGAGTCAACATAGGATGAACGGATCATATAAACCCGAAGGCAAATATAATACAAGCCCAAACGAAAAAATATAAACAAGTCTAAATAGAAAACAACGTTCAAACCTATGATTGCGTTGGATAAAAACCGCAATTTTTATACGTGTGCATCAAAACAAATTTCTTGGTAGAGGGGTCTAAATACAGCACAAACATCATTTTCCAAAAGACCAAATGAGTGAAAAAGTATATTTAAAAAACGCATTATATATATTTTATAAAATTTACATTTTTGTTCGATGAATATACATTTTTTGTACTCGCATGGTTTATTGTGACTATTCAAATATTTTAGATTTTCTTAGTAAATTATAAAAAACCTTAATGGAGTTCCCAGAATACTTGTGTAAAAATGAGAATATGTTGGTTTATGTTGTAACAACATTTGACTTTTAAGTCAAGGTAAATCTAGGGAAAATTGCATAGTTAAAGTACATTACATAACAAAATTTTTTGTTCTATATTTGAATATGATACATTTTGAAACAGTTTCGTTCTCGTGTTTCAACAAACAATTTTTTATCATGAACCTAGGTCATATCTTACAAATTTAGTTTTTGGTGTCAAAAAAGTAGGCTAACATTTCTAAAATAAAAGAGCCTGAAAATTAAGTGATATCTTAATTTACCATTATTTGTATTTTCTAAATTAAAATATGCTAAAGATCAAGTACGGAGAGGTTAAAATATAATAATTACAATAATATATTGTAAAATTATTTATTTGAATTATTGAAAAAAAAATTCATATGATCCAAATTAGGTTTCATGTCCATGGTTTTACTAGCTTTTCCATGTTTTATTATGCAATTATAGGCAATATGAAATACTGATCTGAATCTATAATATTTTTGGAAGAAAAAATTAGTGGATTGTTTGACAACTACAAGAGCATTATATAAAAAATATAAAAGAAGACTTAATGTATTTTTATAATTCACTTGTCCGAGACTTTTGTTAACAAAGTGTATTAATTTGAGAAGGTATTGGTTCAGCAACTGTAAGTCATACATGGATACATATTGACAAATATGAACAGTTTTCCCAACAAAATGTATGCATAATCTTTATACTTTATCGAATTACGTTATAAAATTAATGTTATTTCTGAATAACACATTCAGAGCTGTATTTTGTTCCAATTGTCGTAAATACAATGATCTCGTTCCTTTTCCCTGAATGTGACCTACCGAATTAGACTTATCACCGGGTTTGTACAAACATGGACAAACGACGGATGCCATATGTGGAGCAGGATCGGCTTACCCTTCCGGAGCACCTGAGATCACCCCCATTTTTGGTGGGGTTCGTGTTGCTCAGTCTTTGGTTTTCTATGTTGTGTTTTATGTACTGTTGTATGTTCGGCTTTTTCTTTTTAGCCATAGCGTTGTTACTTTATTTTCGACTTGTTAGTTTGAATGGCCCTTTGGTATCCTTCGCCTCTCTTTTATTTTGGATTTTATATCTATGTCCAGTCTCATATATGTGCCCTTTCCTCAAATATGTGTCCTATTCTATATTGCATCAAAGATGTCATAATATAATTTATGTCCTGTTTTATAAAATCTGTCTCCGTTTTCAACAAGGTATGCACTGTCCTATGTGTTGACATCATTATTCACAGTAATCAAAGCGTCTTTGAGGAAAAACTTTTGTTGTGATATACACCAATACGACTTTCATGAAACATGAGGGGGGGGGGGGGGGGGGGGGAATCGGGAGAAGAAGGACTTACAGTTTCTCGCATATAAACAAAATTCAAAATAACTTATACTTTTTTTATCTTTCAGTTATTATATAGCCTTTTTATCTCGTTTTGTTTAATCACTTTTAAGTCATATAGTGAAGGCAGTCAAAATATTTAAACCTTTCTATTTCTCTCAAAACAGACAGATTAGTCATAAACACCTTTTTCGGGGGGGGGAGGGGGGGGGGGGGTAAGGGAGTCTTGAGGGTCTAACGAACGGTAATATAGAATTGTGCACTTTGAACTTATTTTGGTTAGTTGACCGTGGTCCCAGATTTGGGTAGCGTTGAGCGTGTTAACCCCCTTGCATTCTATATATGCCTGTCCCAATTTAAGTCACATTACTGTAAGTCTACATTATAAAAAGAACACGAATTTAAATAAACAAAAACTGTCATGAAGTCACGGGACACAGATTTGAGGAAAGAATAAAGATTTGAGGCTGGACAGAGCCACAGATTTGAGTGTTATGAGGCCATGGGACACATATCTGAAGAAAGGACACAAATTTGAGACCGGACATAGATTGACTCTTACACACACATATAAATATATATATATATATATATATATATATATATATATATGTATAATTGATGATTAAGAGAAAAAAATAAATCATATGTAATAAGAATAAGACCATCACGAAGTTTCAACAATTCTTATTATTATATAGTATATATTGTAGGAAACACATGCATCTTTGCAGCGGATTTTCATTTGTTGGATTTCATCATTTAGTTTGGATTGTTTTTATAATATCGGTGAGTGTGGTTATCAGCCACGGTAGTTGGTATGTTGTTGTTTGTGTTGATGGTGGCCTGGCGTAAACAAATGCCAGTAACATCTGTCTCCACATACGAACTTAACTTGGAACCTGTAGATATTGCGTATTAAGTTCTGGTTGCCTATTCTTTTGATATTAAATCTGAGATCTAACTGTGCAACAGAAAAGGCCCTATCTTAACTAAACACATGTAAATCTACCTGTTATTCAATTATTTACTACTGGCTAAAACAAGATATTTTGTATTGAAACATCTTTTTTCATGTAAGGATAGACATAATAGGTAAATTTAAAAATGCTCGAATAGTCAGAAGGCACCACTTACATGAATTAATTATTAATTTATTACTCAGTTAATAACAATTCCAACAGATTAGTTTAGTTTACAATAATTAGCCTCTTTGATCTTTTCAAGTGTGCGAGACATGTTCTAATAGTGTGTTAGTTTAGCAAATTTATTGTAAATCAATGACAACTTACCATAACTGATACACTACACCAAACTATTTTTTTTTCAAACTTTAAATTGATTCAAAGCTAGGAAATAAACATGGTATTTAAAAAAAAAAGTGCAAAACTTGTATTCTGCCCAGAGAATTCTCAAAGAAAAAATAAAAATTAAACAGTGACCTGCAATGGCTGATAAGATGTTCAATGTTGATTGGTCAAGCCGGCATAAAATGTATATATTTAGTTCAATAATAATACTATTGGCTACTGTATGTCTAAACTTTGTTGTGTAAAATTTAACCTAAAAAACTGCTCTGTTTTGCTCATCTCTTGGATGTACTGTCCAGCCCAGGAAAACCCGCAATGAAAACTACTTTTAAGGTAGATGTTAACTGCGGACATTTCTCAGTGTCTTAAAATGACCCCCCTTTCACCAGTCAAATCCGGCGATTAGCAGACATAATATAAATACTAATCTGAACAAAGACAATAGGATAATAAAAATTGAGTACACTATAGACGCGCGTTTCGTCTACATAACACTCAGCAGTGACGCTCAAATCAAGACAGGTGGAAGGACAATCAAATACGAAGTTGAAACATTTAAAACAAGTGAATCTGTGAGCTATTGCTCACTAATGATACCCCCGACCCGTTAGAAGTATAAGGTAAACAGGAAGTTGTTGAGTGATGGATCTGAAAACGCATCACACCGTAAAGCTGACTCATATAAACCCTGAAACCAAATTTCAGAAATCCTTGTAATGTAGTTCCTGAGAAAGATGCTACGAAAAATATTCATGGTACGGACGGACGGACGGACGGACTGAAGGATAGACTGACGGATGGACGGATGGATGGATGGACAGACAAAGGTTAAACAGCATACCCCCACTTTTTTAAAGCGGGGGTATAATTAAACATTTCAAAACGTTGTGCAAAAAATGACTAAGGCATTGCATGGATCTAATCGATGGGTAGATAAACCTAAGTGTAATTTCACACTTAATGCACAGTAGATTTACAGAAAATAACGTATCAATGATTTTTGATATCATTGAAAATGTTGTGACTACTGAGAGGGTGATACGTCGCGGACGGAACCTCCACTAGCAGCGACATAGGTCCAGTGGTTCTAAAAACTCAACAAAGATGCAAGGTTTATAATTTGATACATAAAACACGCGATTCGTCTACAGAAGAATGATCAGTAGCTCTCGAAACAAAACAGTTGGAAGGTCAATCGTATTCAAAGTTGAAGCGCATTGAAAAACAAAAAATCCACAAAGTTATGAAAACAGCGTTAGACTTTGCTTCTACTATTCTTTGGTTTGCGTTATCTTCAAAAAATAAAATCACCATTGAAAATCTGGACGCGAAACAAGAAAATGTACAATGATACCGCTGATTAGCTATTGAAAAACGAGTCTCAACCACACACATATATTTATATAGTTTACTTGTTGAAAACATAATGCTTTCCAGTCAAATATAGGAAAATTCAAACAACAACAAATCCATATGAATGTACATTATATTTTTTTATAAATTGCCATCAGAGTGAGAAAAAAACTTTATGATATGATTACTATTTGTACGGCATCTTTTATTTGGGCTTGTGCAATAGTAAAAGTGAAGTAACTATTGGTCTTGGACAATACCAGGTGGAGAATTCACTAAAAATGATTTTATATAATGCAAAGTTTTGATTTTAATGTAGATTGAATGGTGGATGAAATCTTACCTTTGATCCGTCAGTGTTTACCAAGTCTATTAATACACCGGTATCACTTAGCCCGCCGTCACTGTATCGATATTGTGTCTGTAAAAATTATGACCGTTCATTAAACATTAATATTCAGATAAATTTCATTCTTTCGGGGAATAGGTGACATAACATCACCGTTTACTATATAAAGCAATATGTAAGACAACTGTTTTAAAACGGTATGCTTCTTTTTTTAAAATATAGGAATACCTGGTATTTGAGGTACTAGATTTCAAGGTACAAGTTTATCTAAAAAGACTATATATACTGCCCAATATATGTATAAACAACAACCACTGAAACATTTGGCCATAGCCTCATACATTCCTGACTTGGTAGAGAAACTCGACAGTTCTTATCTATATCTGTATCTTATAGCAAAGTTTCTAATTAGACCTGGTATAAAGATTCAACAAGGCCAAAGTGACTCCTCTCAACAACATTTTTGTCAAGACTGTAGTACACACATGAAGACTGACATAATCTCACATACGTACTTTACATAACATTCTATTTGTATAGCGTGACAAGTTGTACAACATATGAAAGCGTATTCTATATACATAGTTTGGGGAAATTACATGTTCAGAAAGCTTTCCAGAAACAGAACTTTAATAAAACAACCGATGCAATTCAATGGTTTTTATTTGTGTATTTTTTAAAGTTGTCATTTGGATTCAATTTCCTTATACGCCCTTATATGCAGTTGTTCTTGTATCTTTAATCCGTAAATTTGTTTTTCAACTCTAGCTTCATATTTTCCCTATTTCTCTGCGTATGAATAAATTAAAGTTCGTCTTTTAGATTTTAAATATTTTTTAATCTAGCAATATGTTATTTCGAAAATCTTAAAACGATTTTCAATATTAAGAATGCCTTTTTTTCATTGATATACATTTTCACAAATTTTTCACTTTTCATATTAAACCTCGTTATAAAATTACTGTCAAAATACTACCAAACATACCATATAAATATATCCAGTTACTGATCCAGTGGAAAATGTAGCCTTTGCTTCAAACATCTCTCCTCCAGTACTGACAGTATCTTCCGTTATATTACCACATACCCATCTGGGAGCACCTGCTAATGATTTGTGGATAACTATAGATCTTCCTGTGATGCTTAAAGGTCCACGTACAGGAAGCATGGTTTCTGTTTCCTTCCCAGAGTAGGTTGGTTTGTTGTTGAGGAAAATACCATATTTTCTACTCAAATCTCCTATTTCATATTCATCATCTGAACCGGATCCATCGATCGGTCCTGCTGTTGCATTAACACCAAAAGGATTAAAATGTCCACCAACAGAAGCTGCAGAGCATGGACTAGAACTTTCTTTTGGGACAGGATTAACATGGACGTGATATCCTCCTGCCATTGAGGCTAATCCTGTTAACTGAATACTAACATCTGTTGTTCCATCTATAAGTCCTTCTGTATTTCGTGTCATGATAAATGATCCATCTACAGACCCATAAGATTCTGGTGCCCATGTGCCAGCTTTAACAATTACCTTTCGGTTTGGTATGGTATGAATATTAGCACATGATAACCTTGCTCCTCCTGAATTTGCTGCATGTATAACAACAGACCGACCTAAAATCTTCAGGTCCCCTGTAAGTGGTAAATCAAAATCTGTGAAGAAATTTCTTTGAATTGTTCCTGAAGTAGATCGTACTGATATCTTTCCGTGTTTGCCTGACATATCGCCAACCTCACATCGTAAAGGATTATTGGGGTTACATTCCGGATTATAATTTCCCAACAGATCAACAGAATAGGGATTATAATGCCCTTGAACGGAATTACAACGACCATTACTGATTAAAGCATCACTACCGAGTTGGCCCACGTGAACGTGCCATTTGTGGTCAACAGATCTACTCGAATTATTCCCATAGTCTACACACACGTAAATCATAGTATCTGCCAGCTCTATGTCAATATCTGTTGGTTGTTTGAAAGCAATGTATCCAATGACAGGATATGTAAACGTTGTTAAACCTGTAATCGTAGTACCAACATATTGAATAGTAGCACAAACCCATCTATTACCATTATCATAATGAACAACTATAGATCGTCCTATTACGCTATTCGTACCAAATAAAGGTAAGTTATAATCAGTGTAATTCTCCATCTTATCAGTTAATCCACTTAACACACCATATTTACTGCTGAGATCTCCCACTTCATACTGATCGTCTGTACCCACAGTTGCTGCAGGGTCTGAAGAAGTATCAATTCCAAAAGGATTAAAATGTCCACTCACGGAATCTGCGTCGCAGACTTTCTGATTGGTTGCCCACTTTTCTGGTACCGGCCATTTATGAACATGATATCCACCGGCGTTACCACCAAGTCCAGAAAGGTCAACAAAAGCCGTTGTGGAATCAAATGGTGATCTCTGTTTGAATGATATCGTTCCGACTACTCCGTCTCTACTTAATGTTGCCACAGCATTTCTTGTTGTATACTGGAGAATTTTTGAACACACTAGAACATCTCCATTTTTAGCTTTCAAAACTAAAATTTTGCCAATGACAGAGTTACTGCCACTGAGTGGGAGATTAATATCAACAAATGAAGTTAAAATTTCTTCACTATTTTCCCCAACGGGTAAGTACGAATTTTTTGAAGACAGATCCCCTATAGGACAATTTCCTTGATTGTTTTGATCACAAGATGAACTTGGACTACTTGTTGGATTATATAACGTACCTTTACTTGAACAAGTGCCAGAATATATACCCCATGCAACTGTTTCATTTGAATTTGTGGTTGTGTTTTGTAAATGGAATGCATTTGCATATATAGAAGTTCCTGATGATGACGATGATGATTTTTGTCTGAAATAAATTGTTCCTCCTACTACGGATTGAAGTTTTGCTATTCCTGTTATATGATCTTCGTCAGCTTCTATTGTACCACACACTCGATAACCAGTTGACGAATCAACCATCAGCAATGCTCTACCTGATAAATTAAATCCAAAATTAATCGGATGTACTGGAAGAAATGCTTTATTTACTTACATAAATATCCCTCATATTCTGTAGTACTAGCAAAATAAACATTTTTGGTAAACATAAACATTCATAACGTATGTAATCAAAACTTCGTAAGAAGAGTCAATTACATAGTTTTGAGGGCAAATACATATATCACATTTCATGACCATTTTTTAACAGGTTTCAAGGTTTCAAACGTGCCAACTCCAAAATAGAAACAGGGAATTCTCTCCCGCTCAACTTTTAACGAAAGTAAGAGTTGTTCGGCGGACTATCAATGTACACTATAATCAACTGAACAGTTGTAAAACAATATCCATCCGACTATAGATTACGAGTAGCATTAAATTGCGGAATTACATTTAATAATATGATTTTAGAAATTCTTTGTTATACTGCATTTTAACCAACATTTTTGCAGTTTATGCTTAGGAAATATTTGATGCCAAACTGAATTCATCAAAGTGGTCGTGATTACCTGAGTTCATTTGAAATAAATACAATATGGCCCGAGAACACAGTTATTTCGTAGTGCATTTCTTTTAGACAATAAATTCAAATTAAAAAAATCGCACCTGCTCTATCTCAAAAAGATTTTTACAGTGTAGTGTACTACTATTGATACAAATAATATCAAAATTATAGAAACTTCTACCAGCTCTAACTCAAAATATTGACAATTCTGTGTTAAGGGGGCTAAAATTCAGTTTGACAGCTTCAGACATTCTAATTTTTGACCTTTTTTAACTGGACCAAATCACTACTTAACATAAAGATTCAGCACCCAAATTTTTTTAACATGTAATTTCATCCCCTTACTTAATATTTCATGCATAAAATATCAAGAAATAAATTGGGAAAGTGTATAAAAAAAAAAATGCAAGTTATACACTGTTCACACTAGGGACTATCATATGATAACTGCCAATATTCAGGTATAAAAGTTAAATCCAGATTGAATTTGTCATTATGCAAAATGTATGCTGTTTGAATTATTTGTTTATCAATTAATTCAAATGACATTTTTTTTTACATCGGTGCATTACGTTTGTGCGCATTACCATTACATTTGCTCGTAAAAATCTTATCTTTTGTGCGCATTCTTTTACAGGTATTTTAAGCTTCAGCATAACGATTTGTAAATCTCTAATATATGACAGCTGATGCTTTCCATAGGTAAACATAGGTAAAGTATATTTATTTATATGGATATTATTTTGACACTTATAACATTATGATATCAGTTGAATGTCGTCACCTGTAGTTGTTTACATCCTTGGTCACGTGACCTTTGATTAGTTTCATTTTGGCAATGAAATCCTATCTTCTTATTTGTTACTCTTATCTGAAAGTTATGTGTTTTAATCTCAAATTATTAATGACAATCATGTCAAAAGTGTATGCCATTCGGACCCCTTAGTAGGAATAAAATATTCCTCTTCTCTTTCAAAATACTGAATCGTCCACCTTAAAATCACCGACTGAATGACCTATTGATCTTAATGACCAGCCTAGGTTTTGTTTAGGAAGGTCAGGTTTTCAGTTTAATGTCTCGTGTAATCGCATGATCAATAGATCTTTCTGGTTACATTTTAGTTTTAAAGGCGAGTCTTTTCCGATAGTTATTTTTCAACTATAGTGACCTATGGATTTACAAGGTCAAGTTTAGATTTAAACAAGCTTGTAAGAAAGTTACTTCCTTGTGTGTGGTTTACTGTATTCATTTAATAATACTGCTAAGAATTAACACATGTAACTAGTCTAATATTGTTGTTACTGGAAGCATTAATACGGAAGTCCTTAAGTGAGGTTTGAAGTTTCTGCCCTTTTTGAAATTGATATGCATATTATAACCCTTTCATGTGGAATTGAAAAAACAAACAAATGTTAGTTTTCTCAATTGAATTGTTTAATATTTTTCATGTCGGGGCCTTTTATAGCCGACTAGACGGTATGGGTTTATCATTGTGTATGTTCCTGGGTCGGAAATATGTGCCAATCACCATGAATACGTTCTAGATTGTGTATAAGACCGCCTATACACAATCTAGAATGCACATCAATTGACCGGCATACAGTGGAACAAACTTACCAAATATCAACATAATGCTCCAAAAATTAATGAATGAAAGCGGGGCACTGCCATTTACACATTATCTATATAAGGATGTCTATTTGTCAATCAGATTGATTGGTTGAGTATTGATTAGTGTCTCTGTGGTTACCGTGAAATCTGATTTTTTTTATTACTAATATACCTTTATATAACACATGAATCTAAGCAAGGATTTGTATAGTCTCACTATACAAATCCTTGATCTAAGCTTACATTTTCGTGAAATGACACTCGATCGCAAATTTTTGTTATTTTTTTCTATTCCGCGGTCGCTTATTCCAATAAAACCAATGATGCCATAAATCTACATTAATTTATCTAACATGACAGCAATGGTGTAAAACACGCCTACCTTTGCTGATTGAATTAATTCGTGATATGCCTTCCAACAAGGCCAATCCTAAGTCGTCTGCTGTTTTCTAAACCCCAAGGAAGTATTTCAGTCTGATCAATTAAAATCAAATTTTCGACATTTTCTCCCTTTATTCACCAATGGTGAAACCTGGATTTTGAGAAAATGTCCCCTTTTCATTTCGGTTAAAGTGTAATACATACTTTTTGTTTATCAAAATGTCCATCATGCATTAACAATATTCGCTTCTTCCCTTATACAGTGGTTCCCCTTTTTAAATCCGGCAGTGTTTACTATGACAAAATACCTGTTAGAGAATTCAAATTGGGTAGAACTGCTGCTGTTATGGTTTCTGATTTTGTTCCATTACTAGTAACGGTACCAGTTGATTCGATATAACTGAAAGGCAAAACATTTTATCTTATTCGATAACTAAGATATTACATGTAGTAGACAAGTAAAGTTTTATTAAATACATGGTAAATATTAATAATTTTATCTGACCATAGTTCGTACAAATATCAAAATTTTGTCAATCAATAAAGCGATTGACCACAACATAATTTACCTGTTGATTTTGATAAAAATGTGACTTATAACACGACTCTAAACAAAATTTTATCTTAAACAATAGACTTTAGGTTTGAAAGTGTAACTTTAACCTTTAAAATTACATCGTCTGGATGCTTTTTTTTTATAAATTCTTGTCAAAGAACGTTTTGATCGTAATATCGAACCCCTATTTTATGTCTTTTATCTAAAAACTTATTGGTATATATGTTTACTTTTTGGTGTTTACCTTTTATATTTAGTGCTTGTATCCTTGGCTATTTTCTTTTACTTTTCAATATGCTCTTGTAACCGCTTTTATTATATTGTGATTACATTCATTTTTATGTATATTTTAAAAAGTTATGGTTTTAAAGAAAGGCCTAAGATGGCAAGTATCTCAATAGAATGGACTGCAAAATACCTCACTCTCCGATATTACGTACCATCGTCTGATGAAATGAAAGAATGTGTCTGTATATTAACCGTAGCACAGTGCAATACTAACCGACTAATGAAAAATTCCTAACAAAACTAGTCTGCCATATATAATATATTATATTTGAAACATATTCATCAATGTTATAAATATCATTTATGTTACACGTTAAATATGATATAAAACATTAATGCAGCTTGTTATCTGATCGGTACATGACGTATCCTTACTATTCAAGTTTGAGAAAAACAATATCAGCAAAAAGTCGCAGTGGATATTCTTCTAAATATTTCTCTATTTTTCCCACGCAATTATTGAATTACTGACTGTAGTGTATCACAGTTTGATTCAATTTAAAGTGAACTTTTAAACCGAAAATGGTTGCAATGCAATAGTATCGCTTTATTTGAATTATTTGTCTTTTCCACGGCTTTAATGATATTATATACAAAAAGCAGTGTTAAAAATCATATTTGAAAAAATAATTATAAATTGAAAATATCTGTATGAACAATTGTCTATACATCCAGTAATATGGACACTTTTGAATTTTGATTAAAAACATCTACTTGACGTGAACTAGTATAGGATTGCATCATAAATAATTAGTGGTGACTTCTTACTTCATTCCAAGAACTCCATCTGAACACCTGACCTGTCGATCGTACACCATTCGATTACTTCGAATGTTCCACGTGTTTGTATTGGCTAAGCCAGCAACACCAAAGATCACAGTCGTGTCTCCTCCATTTTGGGTGAAGGTCACGGTACCAGTGACTCCATTTAAAGCAACTTTTGCTATTAAGGTTAAACCATATCCTTCAGAAACTGAAATAAAGAAAAGAAAAACTTTAGTAAAAAGACAAAATAACTTACCGAATAACTATATGTCATATCAATTCTATTGTCATAAACGATGAATGTTTATTCTGAATATGTGAATCCTATACCCAAGTTTAAGTTGGATCATTTTTACAGTCTTCGTCATGTTGTCTTTTTCAACGTCAAAAATGTTTAAACGAGACCATTTTTGGAAGAAAATTCAAAATAGGTATATTTGTAAAACGTTTTTGAAAAAAAATGATTGCTTCACAAAGTTTCCACGGCAATCGAATGTATATGTTATTTGCATCCATTTATCAGGTAAATTATATATTATTTTTGGAACCATATTTAGTAACTGAATTTCGTTGAAAAAAAATAAAAATAAAAAATTATGCCGCCTCTTTCATCCTGTATAAACCATAAAGGGCAGCAACTGAAATATCCAATCTACATAAAACTTTGAAATTAATCTTCGTGTTATTTTAAAAGCAAACTATTCAAGATAGTGTTGACAAACTTCCCCTTTCCTTAAAGTGACAAAGTCTATGTTTTCCCATAAAACAATAAGAATAAGGTGCATACAGCTACACGTATTGTGAAGTAACTTTGTTCGCGCTTCATGTCAATTCAGTGCAAATTGTGTAGTATTTTGCGTTGAATACCTGTAAAGCCCGGCAGGCATTTTATTAAATTCTTAGAATTCCAATCTGCCGGATTATAAATACTTCGAAATATTTTTTTCTCTGCGTCCTATAGATTTTAAGATTTTAAATTATTTATTTCTGATTTTTACTTTTACTTTTTAAATTGCACTTTTTATAGTTAAAGTGTAAATAGGGAATCCCTAGTAACTAGATGCTATCTGTACTGATCATTCAAAACTTTTCCGACTTTTCAGGATACAAATGTTGATCTTGTATCTTCAATATCATATTGCTAGGAAATATTAAAATCACTGTTGTAATGGTAAAACGTATCATCAAAAATAGTTGATATATATATATAAGAAATTTTGTTTGAAAAAAAAAAACCCATCCGTTACACATGCCAAAATAGTTGAGCCCTTACTACACGAAAATTATATCGCCTTCAAATCCGACATAATCTCCGTTTCGCATTTATAGACTTAAGTATATTTGTAATATTTATTCTTATGGATAATCACATACAAAATGTACAAGCTGTGTTTGAATTATTCTGTTTGAGTAATTCACAAACACAATGAGTAAACTGGAAAAAATATGATTGTATTTTTACAGATTTTGTTAGTTTAATTTCTAATCGGATGATGGGAAAAGTCATAACAACCTGTTGTCAGCGCTCAAAAACACATACGAAAGAAGTTTTTTTTGTATTTCTTGTTTAGCAAAGTTGATACTAAACATAGTTTTGTGTCTTATACTGAAATAAAAAATATATGGTCATTCTGGAATGCCTCCATCGGGCAGTAAAACCCTTGCTAAAGTGATGTGACGTTTGGCTGTGCGTGATGTAAAAATCCCAACCATGTCCAGTCGGAATGGGGACGTTAAATCCGACACATACAGCTCTACTCAGTGCTCCGAGTACAAAATTTGTGCTTAAAACACCGAATCCAGTATTTTGATTGGTTGAGTCTCAATCCGTCAAAAAAAAAACCCACTTGGCGCCCCGACAACCCCGACAATATAAAATCGTCGTCCCCTAAATTCCTTTCTCTGTACGTTAAACAACGCTCACAATACTTCTATGAGAGGTCCGTACGTGGCCTATTTTAGGGTAAAATGTCTGTCCCTATCCAAAATACCATCATTTTACAGTGGACAGTTTAAATTTCCCTCCTTTTGTCCCAATCAACCAACCTTTATGTGGTGGAAATCTGAGATGAAAAGTCGACAATAGTCTCGAGAAAAAAGAAAGGTTAAAATGGTAGAAAAAAAATCTTAAAATGGTTTTTCCTGCAATTGCTACTGTCTGTGTAAACGTGCAATGTTCACTATCAAAAACTGAATCATTTTATCAGTAAAATACGGATTTAAAAAAATCAAACGTTTTCCTTCAAACGTGATTTCTTCATCGTGAAGAAAGGCTTTGTTCAAGTTTCGTAAAATTCCATGACGTTTTAACAAAGTTATTGATGTCTTAAAAAATGAACTTTAGACTATATCTAAATGTCATATGCTAAAAATTAAGGGCATATGATACAGTTTACTTTTGATCCAACGGTGAATGTTTAACGAAAGTTTGCATACAAAATATTTTTTACCTAGTCAATTCAAATATGTAATAACAAATATACCTTCATGTGCTACTTTTAAAGATAAATGGGGTCGACATTTTAAACATTTACTGGACATTTCGGTTTATTGGACATTTCTATCCAATGGAAAGACATCCTTAACTTTTTTCAAAAGATAAACGCAAGCGAGGTTTTGTAGTTTGTGTAACAATTCTTTGGAAATAATTAATTTTTATCATATTTTCATGATTTTAGTAAAAACAAAACGGCATTTGTGGCTGTATATTTATCTGATTTAAAAAAAAATCATCGGTGATTTGTTCCTAAAAATAGTCACAAATATTTTTCATACATAATCAAGTCTAATGATTGCTGTTTGGTTATTGTCCCGTGTGAATTGAGAATTAGTTCATGTGAGTTAGTGTGGAGCTAACATAAGAGGAAAGGTATAATCATTAGGAAAGGTATATAATAAAGTATACAGCGTAAAAAATGAGAAAAAAATAAACGGCAGAAAAAATTAATATTGACTAGCAATATCACGGTCAAAAGAAAAAAAAGTCATAAATACAAACAGCATTCCACGTATACAGCACATAAGTACATAAGTATGTAAATTTTCTAAAGACTCAGAACCTCGAAAAAAACCACGTTGGTGAATGAGGATCGATGTTCTGCAAGAACAAGCGAGTCATAGCAATGACTGCAACACTGGCAGCTGCTGCATGCATTGCCATGAGATGATTACCCTGTTGACGCGCACGCTCCTTTTGGAATTCATGCGTTTATGTTATGTTATATCTTATTAACAGATTTATGAGATTTGAACATCCGTTATACGTTTGCTCGGGCCAAGTTAAACCTGAACAGCCGAATTCCGATGTTATACACGAGGAAAGGAGTGATTTCTGGTTTATAACAAATGGAGCACATCTGAGGTCATCTTTGACATATATATTCCATACCGGTCCATACCTTGTATACTAGAAGACTCAAATGTTAACGGATAAGGAAAGCATCAGCAAATGACGGAGACAGAGACAGCAAGCGATAAAAGACAAATTAGGATTGCATAGCCGAAGGAATGTTTGCATTCCTCTCTACGTCTTAAAACAAGTTGTGCGTTTAAGGTTATGAATGAGTCCCTTAAAATTAACTTCTCTTTGAATGAAATCAAAACCGAGAAATAGCAATATGGCCAACGATGAATTGAAAATAATTTGTTTTTCAGTGCAATGTATTAATATAATTCTGTTCATCGTATCCTCGTATTAATCTATCTTAATCTGGTCAAATACATACATTGTCGTCAATATAAGTTTAATGTACTCCGTATGACACGTGCCTACTTCACGGCATCAGTAGTAGGATACTCCGTATGACACGTGCCTACTTCATGGCATCAGTAGTAGGATACTCCGTGTGACACTAGTTTACTTCACGTCATCAGAAGTATGAGTAACGGATCAAATTTTGTAAAAAAATATAGTAAAAGTAGAATATTAGTTGTAATGTAAATTCAATGAATCGTTTTTTAACCATTTGCCAAAGCTTAATTCACCCAGTTTTGAAAAAGCAGGCGTTGATTCAGAAAAAAAAACATAGAGGACGTCTCCTTTATACATTTGCATTTCAGAGTGACATTTTAAGCGGAAAATTGTTGTATTTCATGCATCCTGAATCCAAGTTACGTAATCGTACTGTTAATTCAGAACTTAATATTGAACCGATTTAAAACTAAAAAAGTCATTAAACCAGAAATTATGAGTCATGTGGCAATAAACATTAGCCAATAAAGTACGTCGTTACTAAAAGCTGTCTAATCCAGACGTGCACGTTAATGTTGAAGTCAATGTTACTAGATAAGCAACCCCCTCCCATAAAAAAAAAATAGATTAATTAATATAAAAATAAAATAACAAAATAAATAACAAAAAAAGATAAATAACGTTTACATTTAACAGTAACTTGTGAATAACTTTCGAATATTCTTTTACTCTACGAATGAAAGAAGCAGGAAAATATAACACTACAAAACATATCATGTCCTTCAAAAGTTGAAGTATTTAACTTGACATTTGAAGTGAAGTGTAAGCAAAAGAACAATTGCAAAGTATTTATACAGTAATAAGCTAAAAATCGTATACATATTGAGGTGTAAAGAAATAATTACTAGGTCATTTAAAAAGATGACATAGATGAATATTTTATTCATATCAAATGTAAGGTGTACTAAGGAAGTCAAACATAATGTATTATAATGAATATAATTTCAGTTTTGACAACATAATGCGGTATATGATTTGCTCATTGTTGAAGGCCGTACTATAACTTCTACGTCATTTGGTCTCTGGTGGACTGTTGTCTCTATATCTTCTTATTTTATATAATATTCAGTTCACAAAACGAAAGAATGTACAGGGATATACCAATGAAACTTTATGTGCGTCAGATAGTGAACCGATGTTTACAAACATATTACAAGTTAAATGTCTTATACACAATAAACAACGCATTTCTGTTTTTCGGGGATATGAGATATATTACATATTTCGGGATATAGAATCAGGTATTAGTTTTGAGAACATCTGATATATATGATATATGTTTTGTTTAAGATGTGTGATATCGACTTCCCTCTTTATAAGTCTCACACATTTATGTTCTCGAGTTATATTCGAAGATACGACAATAAATGGATAGAACGAAAGAAAAAGCAACAAGACATCAGTGTCTGACACTCCCCGACTTGTAAACATACTAGCATTTTGCGATACGTTTTTAA